TTGAACCGCCAGCCTTCTGGTGAGCAGTCAAATGCCTTAGGCACTATGCTACCAGAGTAAATCCAAATGTGAATTTATAATCCAAATATGCTAAAAAATGTAAAGTATTTAGATTTGTAATTAGTAGTATTTTTCTACCTAGAAAATATAAAGTCCTAGGAAAAGAAAATGCACATCCTTAAGATATATTACCAAATTAATATTTATTTTAAATTATTCATGAGTTTTTCCAGTGTGAATGGACTGATATGCATCACAACCAACCATATTCACAGATACTAAGCAACTAAAACTTTTTGTTCACAAGACATACTGATCAAACAATGTGCAATCAATCCAAAAGGTTATCTCTTTAAAAAGATTTTAAGTACTGAGTTACAAAGATGATGATTGGTCACTTGTGAGACTTCTCACTTAAAAAAGTTTTTAATGAATCAAATTTATTCAAAACTTAATGTACAATCAAAGCCAAAGAAATTTCTCAGAGCATATCAGAGGTCAGCAAAATAATATTAATAGATTAAGGCTATTTAAAAAATAAAACAAAGCATATTTTCTGAGTAGTAACATAAAACATCATGGTACATTATCATTATTTTACATTAGAAAACAGTAAGACATTTTTCAATATTGACTTTTTGTTGCTCATATAACAGTGAAACAAAAATTCCAACAGAACATGTAAACTATAAATTCTAGAAAGTGAGCCTTAAAGGTGTTTTCTTCAAAACATGCAATTCCTTACAAATCTTTCAACTCAATGCATGAGAACAAGCATATTTATAATCCAAACACAGCTCTATCAGCCACAAAGGGAACAATCGCTATCCACTTCCACTATGGAGACTTTAACTGGGTGATTACAAAATAAGAGCTCCTCTGAGTGTGTAGTCTTTAAAAACAGTGACAATTCACTGGTTTTTTTCTATCTTATTCATTTACATTTCAAATGTGGCCATGTTAATGACCAGCTATATACAGGTTCTCTATATTCAGACACAGATAAAAATTATATACAGTTTACAGAGATTAAATTTTAACCATGGACACTTTTCATCTAGTCCAAAGACTAGAAGCTTTCCAACACCAAGGATAACTGCCAGGTACTCCAATAGGCCAAAAGAAGCCAAAATACACATTTACTACATATAATTTTAAGACATTAACTATTTTTCCTTTCAAATGCATTCATTGTTATTAAAGAAATGTTTAAAATTTACCTGCTTTTAAACTGGCAGTTGCTACATGAGCAATGCTTTATACCATACATATCAAAGTCTTTTCCTACCCAAAAGCTACTGTTAACTGAAGTCAATTTTACCAGTGAAATTAAATTCAAACGCCTAGATCCCAGATACCTGGGTATGAAATATTCAAATCTGCCAAGAGGAATCAGATATTTGTCTTCTTTTCTTTTAATATAACCCACTATATAATAGTGAACTAAATATGTTTGTTTCATAGAAACAACTTTCATTTGCCAATACAGGGCAAATGGTCTATGTACAGATACATTAGGACTGCCTAACTGACAGTGAGTGTTGCCAACCAAGCTCCAAATTAATGGAGCTAATACGGTGGGACTCTCTGCTGAATGGATTTTCCCTTCAGGATACGTCGGATCTGGAATAGAAATAAATAGGATTTATAAGGTTTATTTTTTTATGGACAAAGTGCCATTATTTCCTTCAGAGCAGCATTTCTTTCTTATATCTATTCTACACCACTCCTATTGATTTCTAAGTGCATAAAGAAATATGCAATAATATTTTTCAAGATTTTATTTGAAATAAAAGCAGCATTCATGGTGCACTGGGTAAGCTCTTGGCTGCTAACCGAGAGGTTGGCAGTTTGAACCCACCAGCCACTCCATGGGAGAAAGATATGGGAGTCTGCTTCCGTAAAGATTACAGCTTTGGAAACCCTATGGGGCAGTTCTACTCTGTCCTTCAGGGTCACTATTACTCAGAATTGGTTCAACAGCAATGAGTTTGGATTTAAGACAACTTAAGAAAAGATAGTACAAATTTTTTAAAAGCTTACTACAGATCTCCTATAATAATAACCTTCGAATGTAAGAAAGTAAAGCAATTCCATTAAAAATTATCCAAAGCTTACAATCTCCGACAATTTAAATAAGACCTACACTCATTTCCTAATCTTTACTCCTATTTGAGAGACTATTTAATACAAAAATATGTAATGGTATATTGTTAATATATTTATCTTGAAGTCAGTCTCAACTAACAAGAGTCCAGAACCTACCATATATACACACAAGTAAATTCTGAATACCCTTCAAGTCAAAATAGCTGTCATGATGTCCAAATACCAAAGTACCTGCACATATATTACTACATATAATTTACGGATCATAGGAACATGCTAGGCTTTCATTTAGAGCCCAGTCATTTATTTTATACTGCGGCTAACACGTTTTATCAGTCTCTCAGTCCACAGCAGATTAGAAACAACAAATTAAAAAAAAAGATTGGGGTAGGAGATGTAACTGACAGCTGCTAGGAAGAGACACAACATAGTGTGTTGATAGAAATAAGGGACAAGACCACACCCAAAAAAAAGAAAAAAAAAAATCCAAAAGCAGAAAAGTTATTTGAGAACGTTAACATAATGAAGAGTCGCACAGCCCTTCACACCTCAACGGTGCCTGTGAACATGTAATACAGCTGCACATCACAAGCAGTGGAGGAGAAGCAAATTCTGGGCTTAGAACTCTAGCCATTTAATCTTCAATGATTGTGGGTTCTGTCCCTGGAACCTCTTTGAATCTCAATTTTTTCAGCTGAAACTTTATACTGTAGACTTCGCATAGCCATTAAGTGATATTAATACATATGGTAATGTTTTATAAACTATGAAAAGATTTTTAAGTTATAAGGCACTGCACAAACAAAGGTCACTGTACCATTATGATGATCATTATGAGGACCATGAGTCAAAGATAAGGTTAAACTCCGTATTTTATTTTGTGATTACAAAATATGTAATGACCTACCTATAGTGACTATTCCCCTCTGGGAAAGACTTCCATCAAAAATATTTAAGTTCTTAAAAAATTAAATTCTTGTTATCTAGTGTTACAGAGCAGGAGAAAGATGTGGCAGTCTGCTCCCATAGATTACAGTCTAGAAACTCTGTGGGACAGTTCTGCTCTGTCACAAGGAGTCGCTATGGGTTGGAACTGACTTGATAGGACCTTACAACACCAGTGTTATGGACTGAATTGTATCCCCCTCAAAATGTGTCTAACTCCCGTAGCTGTGGATGTAATCCCATTTGGAATTGGGTATTCTCTGTTCTGTTAATGAGGCTGTATTAGTTTAGGGTGTATCCTAAACCTAGTCAGAGAGTTATAAGAAACAGCATAGAGAAAAACATGCAAGTACGTATGGGGAGAAGACAGATGCCACATGAGGACTGCCAAGGAACCGCGGAGTGCCAACACTACAGAAGCTGAGACAAGATCTTCCCCCAAAGTTGAAGGAAGGAAACAAACGAATATGCACCTTCCCTCAAAACTGGAACCCTGAATTCAGACTTCTAGCCTCCTGCACTGTGAGGAAATATATCTCTGTTCTTTAAAGCCATCCAGTTGTGGTTATTTCTGTTAAAACGGCACTAAGATATGTCAAAAATTCACTCCCAAAACTATTCAACCTCCAATGACAACATATAACCCTATTTGATAACAAAAGCATAATTCTGTTTAAACAGTAAAATATTTCTAGGTTTTGAGTCACATACATAACCTCTCCATTTCTTCTTTAGTATCAATTAATTGACAGGAATATTTGTAACAGCTGATGTTTACTGAAGACTTACTACGTGCCTGGGACTTTTCTGAACACTGCAGGTATCGACACATTTCACATACACAGTAATCCTTCTTGAAGACTCACAGTTTATACCTAAAACTAAGATTCTCTTTCCTTGGGTACTTGCACTTTTTCATTAGCTTTCAAACCCCAAACCATTGTGAATTACTCTAAAACCATGTTTATATCAAGGAGAAAAGATTAGCTGCTGACCTCTGACCATTTTGGATCCATGCACAAACTCTCAACTTCCTTACTCTTCCTTGGGAAACAAAGCAATTAACTCTGAGGTGCCACAATGAACACTGTGCCATGTGAACACTGGAGAGCACCACTGGCCTTGCCCCCGCACCACCTCAGCTCTTCATGTTTCAGGTGGGCGTGCCTGAGCTGTCTCCTCCCCTTCTGAGGCCCTCACCTGTTCTCCCACAGGGCCATCAGGAACCAAATGTACTGGCTGTTCATTCTCTAAGTTCCGAGTACTAGGGTCTGCTCCCTTCCTCATCAGCAGGCGGACTGCATCCAACTGTGCCACCCGATACTGTAGGCTGGCAGCAACGTGGAGGGCAGTGTTCCCATTGTAAGCCTGAAAACAAAAAAGATGAAATAACATCCATCAGGAAGGCAAGCTTTCATGAAAGGCTCTCAAAAGCTTGAAGAAAATGTGAAAAGGATCATTACCTTTGCATTCACAAAAGACAGGCAACTGGGCAGTTCCAAAAAGAGGCGAATGAGTTCCAGATTTGCTTCTTCGGCTGCCAAATGCAAGGCTGTGCGGCCACTTTTGCGATCCTTGTCAAAGGCAAGAGGGGGAAAAAAATGAACATTCCAACACCATGCCTTAGAATACTCTTTTTGCCCAGCCTCCCAAAACTCACTCAGCCCTGTGGACTCTGAATGTGCCCTTCTCCCTAAAGTCTTCCATAATCCCCAAACTAGATGGACTCTCTTATACCTCCTTAGGAGCTCTGGTGGTGCAGTGCCTAAGGCATTTTACTGCTAACCAGAAGGCTGGCAGTTCTAAACCCACCAGCTGCTCCACAGAAGAAGGATGAAGCAAACTACTTCTATAAAAACATTCCTCCTTAAATTCCAATTAATTTTCCTAAGTACCTCCTATGGTCTCCCTTACACACAGGATGGTCATAAAATGTAGAAACATGTGGTATTACTTTATCATATATATTATAATATAATATCAATAGGCCATTTATTATGTACTTGCCCATATTTCCAGACTTGGTGACCACCCTATACAGTTATATTTAACTGTATCAATCACTTCTTCTATTAGACAGTAACTTCCCCAAGTGCCCAGTTGGTTTAGCCATTTTTTCCCCAAAGTACCTAACCCACTGCCTTGCGCATAGGAGGTACTCAGGGAATAAACCCTGAATTTTAAAATTAAAATATTTTTCAGTTTAAAAAATTAAAGATTTAGTTCAGATTCCACAGCCATGAAAAAAACTTTATAAAAAGCACTACTTTTGCTGTCCATGTATGAAAATGGAAGTCAAAATGGCAGTTTCAAACCCAACCTTTTCCTTTCAAACAAAGACTGATTTATTTCAGAACTAAATGGCCATTTAGATAAAAACAATTTAAAAGCAGATCAAGAAAAGGGTTAAGATGATCTTTTAAAATTCTAAGCTCCTTAACTATCCATACATCGCTACTTATTCCATCAAAAAAAAGTTTTCACACCTACTCTTGGGAGCAAGGCATAAACCCTTTTTGCTGTAACCACTTTTTCCTCTTACTTCATTTCAAACCTGTTCTGTGAATTTACCTTAGCTTCCACTGCTGCCCCCATTTGAATCAGACACTTGATGGTGTCAACCATACTCTTATTCTTCAGTAACAGCTCCTGCACTTCAGGTGAATGTGGCTGTTGGTTTCTCTGAAGCTCGTGCACCACAGCATTGTGGGCCACGACTGCACAGTGGAGGGGAGTCAGGCCTAGAAGTAAAGCACACCAAAGCATCATCAAGCATCCCATTGAGTCTCTGTCACTCTATGAATGCAAACCTTGGAGATGCTTCGAACTTGACCTACAATGGGCTACATGAACTATTAAGATAACATGAATATTCCCTTCAGTGGAACTAGTCATAATCTTATTTACAGAATATTACTGCTTTAGTTACTTCCTCTCCTTCTTAGTACGATACTTAATACCCTTAGAATATATGAGTCACACTTACTAAATGATTCTTTGGCCAATAAAATTTCAGCTGCTTACCTTCATAGTTAGTTGCCTCAAGATCCACAAACTGATTGCTCCTGGCGGCTCCCTTCTGAATTGCCTGAAAAATTTAAAAGCAGACATCCGTTAGCCAAAGCCAAACTGTGGATAGTTGGCTTATCATCTATTAGTATTCCAAGAGAAGATTAAGTCAACCCAAAATAAATGATTCCAACAGACAACGTGCACCCAATTCCTAATATCTAAGGCCTATCTCTTTGGAACTATGATAATGGAAGCCTCATAGCCTCTTACCTGAAGCACCTGGGAATGGCCCTTCTCAGCACAGACGTGCAGAGGTGTTCTTCCCCAGCAGTCTGTGGTGTTCACCTGGGCCCCAAGGTTCACCAGATCCTGCACAATGAGGTGCTGATTGGCAGCCACTGCCACTTGAAATGCACTCTGTGGATATTCAGAAAGAAAAATATTATTTTAAAAAAATACATAACACTACCATAACAAGGAATATGAGCCTGAACTAAAACTGGGGGAAAATGCACAGAGAAATTAAATCCTACTGATAAGCAATCAAACACTCTTAAGACAAGGAAATTAAAGTAAGTTCACAGTGTGGGTTTATTATACCCAGTTAGTCTTTGACCAAATAATTACAAAGTTAATGTTAATAACTTCAAAGTTGGTGGTGGCAGAGTCAACATCCCAAAGTTAATATTAACTAAACTCTCTTGGTCATGAGCTCTGAAATGATCTACATGTAAGCATAAGACTGGCCACCATTCCTCTTCACCATGATCACAGTACTGCCATTTCAGACTCTAGGGAGATCCTCACCTGTCCATTGTGCTCTTTAATATCCAACATGTGAAGGGCATTCATCTTTCTTGCAAGGACATAGGAAAGTGCCCTTCGCCCTTGGGCAACAGCAATATGGAGGAACCTGGGGAACAGGGAATGGAAAAGAGGTAAACTACTTTTTATTTCACTAAGTTCATTTAAAAAAAAAAAAAAATTCTCCCTTTAGCACCTTTCTTGCTATGCACTCAAATGAAACATTACGAAGTATAATCTGTTCTTTCTGCTAGGTTGATAATATATCTGAACTGCCAATAAAAGGAGTTTCGCTACCAGAAATAAGAACGCCTACCATCATGTTGAAGTTTTTAAATTTATTATCTATAATACTCATAAAAACCTATGAGGGAAGGACTATTTTACACATTAAGAAACTAAGGCATAGAGAGGTTAAATAAATTGCCCAAGGCCACAAAGACATCAGGACAGATCAAGATTCAATCTATAAGTCAACTAACAGTTCATATCTAATCGTAATAGTTTTTGCTCTACAGTCTACGCTGATCTTCCAAAACCAGTAATTCAAAAAAGATAGGAATATTTTTATCATGTAGAACAGATAATCTTCTTACTAAGTAAATAAATATCCTTTCTTGAAGTACTAGCTATCATTGAGTAGCAGTTTCTACCTAAACAAATTATGTGGGTAAGCCAAACACTTACTAAGGTATAACTTGTATACCACCTTCAAGAAATTCTGTATGTGCCCACTAGGTCCACGAGTAGCTAATCAAATTAGGTACATGAGATAAAGGGATACTCACGTGTCACCATCTGCATCCTTTGAAAGAAACTGGTCTTGGGAAATATTTGCCAATTTGCTTTCCTCCTGCTCTACCTGCCACTGAAAAAATGACTTTCCTAACTGTGCGGTGCTCATGGAGTTTCCAGAGATGTTCTGGAACGGCAGTGAGGTGTTTAAAGGGGAAGAGCCTGCACTGTGGCCCCCCATGGGCTCGCAGGCACTGTTTGGCATCATGCTAAAGTTCTGCAGGTGGGCATCATTTTGTTGCTGGACATTGGGAGGAGTCTGAATGGGTACAGCAATATTCTCAGATTCATCATGATTACTTAGAAGAGATGCAAAACTATGGTTTGAGCACAACTGTAGTTCCTGACCATCAAAGAAATTTGGTTCATAGTTGGGGGACTGAGTTCTGGAATAAGGACTATATTCCAGATTTGTGTTGTGGGTATAGTGATGCTGATGCTGCTGCACATTCTGGTTCTGTGGAGAATATTGGTACAAGGAAGGCTGATCCATCATTTGTGGGGAGCCACTGACTTGGAACGGCTGGTATTTCTGAGGTGGTGAGAAGACCTGCCCTCCATGGAAGTCCTGACACTGCTGTCTGGGGGAACTCTGAGGGACAACCACAGGGTTCATCCAGCTAACTTGGACTGTGTTCAGGGAAACAGGGCTGCATTCATTTTTAATGTTGATAATGTTTTGAAGCAGATCGGAACTGCTGTCATGTTTGGATTCATTGTGATGAACATCTTCCATACTCTCCCCTGGTGTTGGTGTTTGGGGTGGTGTCTAGAAACAAAGAAAAATCAAGTTGAACACTCACTTTCTTTCAAAATTATCCCAGTAAAAATTTCAGAAGGATTTTCAGAGGGAAATAATGAGATACTTACCAAAAATTGGGTATGCAACAGAGCTGGCCTTTTGCAAGCTGGTCCATCAGACAATGAATCAGGCCCTTTCCTTTTCCCACTATATGATACTGTGTTCTTCAGTTCTGTACCCAAGAAAAGAACATGGAGTCTATGATTTTGTTATTTTATAAATTTTACTTATAATCATACTAAATTATTTTACTCTAAAGTCCCCATAAAGTTATAAATAAAAGTAACTCCTACCTGTGAATTGCTCTATGTTCACACCTTGTGTCTATAAAGAAAAAGTTTCCAATTTAGTATATATAAAATGACTTCCCGCTTAATATACATCAATAAATACATTTACCTCTATCACCATTTATAGCTCACCATAAGTCTTTGATACAATTACTCTATCAATACTTATCTTCTAACTTCATTTTCCTTCTGTCTTACAACTTCCCCATTTTTACTTTTACCTTAGCTCAACTCAGGTCAAGATGAAAATAAGTCCATCGGATTTTTCCTTTTCTAGTTGAAATGTTCCTTTTTCAATTAAATCCTATTTATCGCCTTGTCCCTAACAAGCTTTCATTTAATTTATTTAATTTCTCTTGCATATGTACTAGGTGCCTGGCACTGGGCTTAGCAATAGGAATATAGCAAACCACAGAGCAAATATGGCCTCTGTCCTATGGATTTTGCAGTTTAGGAGTCTACAAATGACTAGCTGGACCTAGGTCAACAGAGAATAATAACCCTAACAGAGACTAGTCTCCCTGCCACCCCACCCCATAAAACAAAACATTTGACAGCACCTTAAATTCATCCACAGCTTGGCCTGAAGAAGCCTTCTGTTTATGACTTCGGATGTGCAACAGGAGTTCCTTCACCGAGTTTTTCACACGAACACCTTGAAAGGGTCCTCTCTGCTGCCGTCCAACCCCCATATGGGGCTCAACTGATCAAAACAAACAAACAAACAAAAATCCAAAGTAACTCTCTTCATAGACACAAATCTTAACAACCCCAAACCAGTCGTCTAATAAATAAAGTGCTCAGGAACAGACTACAAAGCCTTTCCAACTTGCAGGTCAGTCCCCAGCCCTATTCAGAGGTTCTGTGTCTGAAACTTTCCCCATACTACTCCTTAAATAATTCGAGTTCACCAAAGTGTGGTCAGGGACCCCAGAGCCATTAAATCAATCCAAATCAATCTTTTCTCTCAGCCCTATCTACCCATAAGGCAGGATCATAGATCTTGCTACCCTCTCACAGATCTATGATTATCCTCGACTTTGGACAAACCTTGGGGGAGCAAAGGATAAATAATCAAGTTTCAGCTTTTCAAACCAGAGACTTTAAATTTTTAAGTCTGTTCATTCTATTCACCTAAGAAGGCATAAAATAAACTTTCTCCAATATCTCAATGTGCCAAAGCCTAACAATTAACAATGCCTCAGATTTGTTTCTTATTATTTCCCTCAATTCAGCTATGCCAAGAACAACCAACCAAACTCACCACAGTCGAGTCGGATCCGACTCATAGTGAACCCTCTGTGGGATTCTGACGCAGTATCACAAGAAAGCTGCTTAAATTCACTTCACTTAAACACATTTCCACACATGCACACAGGATTTCTCCTCACCAACTGTTAGTGAAACTGCTAACAAGGAAATATGTGTTTCACATTTAAACTCTGAAATAACGCTTTAAAATGCAGTGTATGAGTACAGCATTCCATTTCTGACCACTGTGATGTCACAATCTCATGGGATATGAGTTGATCACAAAATAAACATGCAAAAAGTCAGGAAATGAATAGTTTAGTGACTCTGTTATGTGGGAAAAAGATGACACAATTACATAATTCGAATAGATATATAAACATTATAATAAATATGTCAGATAAACAACTCAGCTAAAGAAAAAATTTGTTGGTTTTACATTTGTCTAAGTTTAGGGATACCAGAATTGCCAGAACCTAATCAGAATTTCTCTAGAATGATTTCTCTAGAATTTCACATCACGTCACAGAGAGAAAATTCAATTTTAGAAATCCCCTATGGCTATGTGGTAAACCAAGGAACTAATAAAAAACAGTTTCAGCCAGATGAAGACCAACAGTGGCAGAAAAGTTTCTAAACACACACACACACACACACACACACACACATTCTGTAGGCACTACCAGTTGGCATCTACTAGACTTAACATACAGTGGGCACTTTACATAAACACTAAACCACTTCCTTGGAGTTGATTCCAACTCATAGCGGTAAATCTCTCAGGAAGTAGATTGCCCATCTTCCTTCTATGGAGTGGCTGGTGGGTTTGAACCACCAACCTTCTGGTTAGCAGTCGAATGCCTTAGGCACTACACCACCAGAGCTCCTTAAAATAATTCACACAAGAAAAAGCACTTTTAAAAAATAAAAGACAACCAACAATAGTGGCTAGCACTGGGAAACACCTGAAAAAGAATGTTTTTAAAATACTACTGAGTAAACCCTTCAACATTTGACATTATCTAGACGTTCTTGAGGCTACCCACAGTGGCATCCTGTTTTGCCCCAAAATATGAAACAGTTCATTGAGCCACAAAAAAGAAACTAACCAATTTAAAACCAAAGAAAGGAAACACTATGCCCTTCTTTGCTAGCTATGGCTTAACCATTTTAAAGCTCAAAGAACAAAAATAAGACCACAGATCCTACTGACTCTGACTTCGGACACTCACAAACTAAAGCCGTAACTTGAGTTCGTTTTCAGTCCAACTTCATCCTACATCTTGAAAATAGCAGTTGCTTTGCTTTATCATAAAGTCCTTTTACTTAAAATGCCCACAGATACTTAAGAGAAATAAATCATGACCTTAAATACAGTGTCCAAACCCTTATACTCTGCTATGGCCTTTCACTGAGATAGCCACAGGTGAAAATTAACTATAACGGACCCAAAACCTCACCACAGTACACGAATTATAGCGCTATTTAAAAAAAAAGGGGGGGGGGGCAAACAAACCCAATACAGTAACAAAACAAAACTTTTCGCCATAAGACAAATATCGAATGTGGTTCATTCCTCCCAGAAATCAGAACTCTGCTATTAGTATTTCAAGCTGTGGGAACAGCTGGATTTCATAGACTGTCAAGCTCCCAACACTGGGAAAGGCACCCCAGTCGCTTTACCAATGACGGCTAATTTGATTGTGTATTGCGGCTAAACAAGGCGCAGGCAGCCAGTTTATACATGCTGGTCGAAGTCACATTTGGTCACATCTGGGGAGCCATGGCCTATCATTCCAAGCACAAGGGAATAACTCGAACAGGCCCTGTTGTTATGTGCCATCGAGTACGAACCAACTCATAGTCATAGCAACCCCTCCTTGGGCTTCCGAGGCGGTATCACTGCGGAAGTAGATTGCCCAACCTTCCTTCCGAGGAGTGGCTGGTGGGTTTGAACCGCCAGCATTCTGGCTAGCAGTCAAGTGCCTTAGGCACTACGCTACCAGAGCTCCGGGAACATGCCCTGGTGGGTGAATACCTTGTGGCCGCTCGGCGCGGGCGCCGCCTCTCGGCCGGGACTCGACGGCCCCGCAGGAGGATACGGAAGAAGCGGAGAAATCCGAGGAGTCTGAGCCGGGAGAGCCGGGCGCCGAGGGCCCCGACGACGAGCAGCTGGCGTCGCCAGTCCCCGGCGCCGCGGCCGGCGGCGACGCGCCGTAGAAGTAGGCCAGGTTGAGAGGGCTGGTCATGAGACCGCAGTCGCTGGCCGCGTCCAGCAAGCCCTCTCCGCCGCGGCTGTCGTCCAGTAGCTTGTCCACGATCATGCTCTCGGGCGCTCGGGAACCCCTAGACACCTGCGCCACCGGGTCGCTGGCGGGGCTGCCTCGCGGCTGTAGGTCTGGCGGCGGCTCGGGACTCGCAATGCAGGAGCAGGACACCGGTACGGGCGCGGCCCGCGGCAGCCGTTTATTTAACTAGCCCCCAGTGCTGGGGGCGGGGAGGCCGTCACGCTCGCCGACCTCCCCCGCACCGGCCCGGCCATTGGCGGCGCCGGGACCGCCTCCTGGCCCCTCCTCCGGATGAGCACCGTTTCCAGTAAAATGTACAGGATGAGGCAATGTGCCCTCCGCCCTCGCCCTGCCCGCCTGGCTCCACCTTGACTAACCGGGTTGTTTTCCTGCCCGTCACCTGGAAACCCCGACCCAGCGTGGCCTCCCGCTCCCCCACTCCAGCCTCAGCCGCCCGCCCAGGGATGCCCGGACTGGGCCTATGTGCCCAGGAAGAGGGCGCGCGGCGCTGGGGCAATGGGCCTGCAGAAGGAGGCGAGAAGGTGGCGGTGGGAACAGGTCGCCGGGTTCCCAAGGGGCAGTCCTGGAAGTTGCGCGTCCCGCCCCGCACCCCTTTCCTCCCTTTGGCACTGCGAGCTTCTGGCCAGCCTGAGTTAAGGCGTCCCTGGAAGGTTTAACTTTCAGCCCTTTAAAGCAGCTTTTGTCTTAACTTTTTCAGCGTTTGCACGTGTTCTTTACCCGTCTTTTACCCGGTCCCAGTTTGAACGAAGTTTTCAATCTGAGCACCTTTTTTTTTTTTTTTGCGCAGTGCCTGAATGAAAAGCAGTATCCACACCCCAGTATAATTCTGTGCTAGCGCAAAGTCATCTTCGCAAAATGATAAATACAAATTTATGTATGTTGTTGTTGCTGTTATGTGCAGTAGTCGGACTGACTCATAGCGACCCCTCCTTGGGTTCCGATGGCAGTTATCACTACGGAAGTAAATTGCCCAACCTTCCTTATGAGGAGTGGCTGATGGGTTTGAACTGCCAGCCTTCTGGTTAGCAGTCAAGTGTTTATGCACTATGATACATATAGTTTTTTATTCTGCCTGTTTTCTCTCTTTCCTGCCCCCTCCCCCCGTGGATTTATACAACTATTCATATTTAAGTCCCATTAGTTGTCAAAACTATGCTAAGTAACATAGATGAACTTGGAGGACATTATGCTGAGTGAAATAAGTCAATCACAGAAAGACAAATATTATATTAGTCTGTTATCATAAAAAGCCAAGGAAAGGTTTGTATATGAAAGGAAATTTTCTTGTTGGTTACCAGGGATGGGAGGGGAAGGGAAGGAACACTGCTAGCTAGGTAGGGACAAGTATTGATTTGGGTGAAGGAAAGGGCAATGTACCAAATGTGAGTGATCAACACAGTGGCATTGAGGAAAAGGAAGACACAGAGAGGTGCATGGGTGGTACAGACAACAAAGATGAACCCTTTTGTACATATAGTACTGCATTGTCAGTGATGGCAAACATTAATCCACAGGCGGATAGATGAGTGGACAGGCTGAACAATTAGGTATGTCTATGAAGGGAGAAGTGTGCCCATGACCATGTATAGAGCTGGCAGACAATGTTTCTACAAGTGTATTTGTACAAGTTCTATAAGAATTTCCAGGTATATAGTAGAGCTGACAAGGGACAAGGTTGTAGTCACTTCTTGGCCACAGCCAGCTAGCCAGAGGGAATGAGCAGTTGGACCTGTGGGCTCAGGACCATGGTCACAGGGGACATCAAGCTCAACTGGCATAACATACTACACAAAAACATTGTTCCACATCCTACTTTGGCCAGAAGTGACTGGGATCTTAAAAGCTTGCAAGCGGCCATCTAGGTGCAGCAATGGGTTTCTCCTCATCCAGAGCAAAGAAGCATGAAGAGAACCAAAGACACATGGAAACAATTAGTCCAAAGACTGGTATACCATGTGATCCTCAGCCTATATGACCATGAGACCAGAAGAACCAAATGGTGCCCGGCTACCACTGTCAACCACTTGGAGGGGGATCTATGTAGGAGATCCTGGATAAAGTGGGAGAACAATGTAGAACAAAACACAAAATCATTTTAAAAAAAAAAAAAAAGGGATCAGGTTTGCTAATCTGATAGAGCCTTGTGGAAATACCCTGAGACTATGGCCCCTAGTTGGTCTTCAGGTCTGGAATTGAACCCACTTCTGTGGCTTCTAGCCAAACAAAAGACAGGCATGTTTTGAGCTGAAATGTTATGAGCTGAACATTT